CCCGGGAAGGGCAGGCTCAGGTCGGGGGTGGGTGACGCCCCCCAAGGGAGGGAGGGAGAGGGTGGTGGGTGTTCGGTGGGAGCTGCAGCCAGGTCCTTTTGCTTAATCCCTTGGGTGCGTGCTCGGCGCTGGGAAGGGGCGGCTCGGCTGAGAATGGTGATGAGAGGCCAAGAGGGAGCTGAGAAAAGTCATTTTAATTAACTTGCTGGCAGTTACCTGGGGCCTTGAAACCCCGTGTTGGAGCGATTTAGGTTGGTTTGGAAAGGAACCGTCGCTCCAAACTGGGAGTTTCGACCGAGGGCAGGTGTCTCCATCTGCAGCCCTGTGTGAGGAGAGAAGGGCAGGATCGCAGGGCTCTGGGGAAGCTCAGCTCGGCAGCCGGCGGCCGGGGGGGGGAGAGAAAGGGAAAACTGAAATCCGAGCCGTGTTTCTCTGGGGGTTTCCCTCTTGTCCCAGGCTCCGGTCCTCAGCGTGCCCTCCCGCCGAGCCCAAGGCAGCGCGCCTTTCCCGGGGTGCGGGGCAAAGAGGGGTGCTTTTCCCTTTGCTGAGAGTAAAGGAGATCGATTCCTCTTTTCGAGGGGTGAAACTTCGATTTCACGTTTCAGTGCTGACAGAGAAAGCAAGAATATCGCTTAGAAAACAAACGAAAAATGAATTTTGTCAATTTTCTCAGAAGAAAAAAAAAACAACAAACAACAAAAAAACCCGAAATAAGTCAACGCTGTAAATCTAGAAAAGCTTTGGGGGTCTTCACGACCACCATCCTTCTTGGAGTGCTGCCTCGTCGCTGATGATTCGGTCCGTGCCTGGAGAGGCGTGGATGTAACCCGGGGGGCAGTGGCGCGGAGCTGAGGACCCCGCTCCCCTCCCCGGCCCCGGCCAGGCTGTTCTGGGGGTGCGTCGAGGAGACGACCCTGGAAAATACCAGCGATTTCTCCCCCTCCCCAACAAAACCAGATTCTGTTTGTGCCCCGCGATTTCTGAGTAGAGTGGGGGAAAGAGGCAGCAGTGTATGCGGAGAGAGGAACATACCACAGAGCGCAGGAAAGTGTGTGTGTGTGAAAATACCTATATGCGGGTATTGTAATTATATATTTGTAGTACAGGTGAGCTGCCCTGCTTGTGAATGTGCTGAGCATCGGCACAATAACGGTAGCTGTGTTATACACATGCCCTGAAGCCCTGCTGTAAGGCGAAAGCCTTTTTCAGCTGGGAGACGGGGCGATCTGTTCTGCGAAAAACGATTTTCCAGCGTTCTGCTTTGCTAAGCCTCGGTCTCCCTGGCTTTGGAGGCGCTTGGAGTGATCCTTGCAGGTGAATTTCTGCT